CTATATTGAAAAGAAATATTTGACTGATTAAATACATAAACATGGGAGAATAGGCAAATCTCCAATGGAGAAAAATTCCAGTTTATGCAGATACTTCCACTTCAAGATAGAGCCTAATTCTCTAGCCCTGAAGTATGGGCCACACATGGTGACTTTCTTCTGAGGACGACATTATGAACAGGAGGCCAGAAACAGTAACGTTACAGTGGAGACACCTAATGGGCATTAACTCAGCCAGGTGATCGAAGTAAACATCCTTAGTGATAAATCATGCTAATAGTATGTGCTATTGATATGATGTCCTGACTTTACCGCCATGGTCTTTTTTCCTAACACACAACTCTAGACTAATCATGAGCAAAACATCATAAAAAATCCTGACTGAGGGACAATGTATGAATAATCTAATCATTCCTCCCCAAAATAGTCAAGCTCATCAAAAACAAAGAAACCATCACAGCCAAGGAAATATTACAAATAATATAACCTAGTACGTTGGCTGGGATCCTTGAACAGAAAACAGACACTAGGTAAACATGACAGACCTCTGAGTAAAGTAGGACTTCAGTTAATAATAAATAATGCATCAATATTAGCTCATTAATTGTAATAAACATACCATATAAACGGAAGCTGTTCATAGTGGGAAACTGGGGGAGGGGCATGTACAAACTCTGTAATACCTTTGCAAATTGTTTACAAATCTAAAATAAAATAGTTTAAAATAAATAGTTTATTGAAAATTTTAAATAAAAAGGACAAAAAGAAACTGAATAAAACATAATGGGTAGGGGAAAAAAGAAAGAAAAAAGAAAAGTAAACACAAGCACACAAAACCGGTGTGGAAAAAAACCCTGAATATTCTTTCTTTCCTCTCCTTTAACTCCCAAGCATATTATCATACACAAGTCTGGATTATTCCATCTCATAAACATCTCCACAATCCACTCCTTTTCTCAAGCCCTGCACCATTGCCTGAACCCGGCCTCACACATGTCTTCCCTGGATTAGAGTAGGAGGCTCCCAATGATGCCAGATATAGGCCTGCAAACACGATTTGCCCAAGAAGGGCTTTAAGACATCTGCAGTGGTGTCTGCCACAGGGAAGGTCTGGCAAGAGTCAGGAGGAACTCAACTCCTTGCAAAGAACACCTGCATGCAGAGCAAGTTTAGCTACACATGGAGGAAAACATCAGCTCCTCAGAGCAGAAACACAATGACTGAGGGTCCTCGGGCTGGGGAGCTCCTGTCTGATATGCCTTGCCCTGGTTAGGATAGCTGAGGACCTGGGTGGCATGTGCCCACGTAGCAGGCTATGGCTAAAGAACTGCATTCTAGGAATGACTCCAAGGAAATGGGTTGAAGGCCTGGGGCAGTCGTGGCTGCTACACTGTTATACCCCTTAGAGCTGGACCCATCAATTCCCCACTAAAGGAACATGGGAAGGTCCTGTTGGCAGAGGAACCCCTGCTTCCATCCTGGAGTGCCCCACGGGCTCCAGTCCTGGGACTTGGGCCAAGAGCACCCAGTTCACGAGGTCAAACAGGCTCCAGCTCACCTCAGCCTCCTCTGGGCTCCCCTGACCCTCCCCTGCTCAGCCCAGGGCAGTCCAGACGGGATGCGGTGGGGGTGCTCCTCCTCCCACCTCTCCTGGGGCGGCCAAGCCTCTGTACAGCCTTCCGCATGGGAACCCGAACCCCCTCCTCCATGGCTGCTTTTGAGACTGGGGGTATCTGGGGTGAGTGGGGGAGCGTCCCGGTGGCCACGCCGTCACCTGCAAGTCTCTCCTCTGCTCCAACGGCCCGACTGCAGACACCAGGGTCCCAGCAGGCTCTGGGGGTGGCTGACAGGGACACACGCCCTCTCTGGCTCAGCCTCAGGAAGCAAAGCGTCAGAGTCACCTGCACAAGGCCACCAGCTTCATGAAGCCGTTGGGGTTACACAGGAGATCTCCGAAAGTAACACAGCATTGTACACGGTCTCACACAGTCACGGGGCGATGACGGTCATTCGCGGGCCCCGGGCGCACTCGCCACCAGGGTGTTGAGTCAGCTCTAGCGGAAGCACGGGCACGCTGAGCGGGATTCGTGGCTGGGGCCCCCCGAGGAAAGATGAGTGTGAGAGGACTGGGGAGTGAGGGCTTGGCAGCGGGGAGACAGGAGGACGAGACCCCAGACATTGCAGACCGAGGCCAGGGTCAGGACAGGCCGGGCGGTGCACGAGGCATGGGGGCTGCGGGCCGGGCCCCAGGAGGAGGACCCCCGCCCTGTTCCCACAAGGCCCACATGCAGCTGGCTGCCCGGCTCCCAAAAGACTCATGACGGCCCCGAGGGGACCGACGGGGTAGCTCAGGGACCTGGCGGTGCAGGGGGCAGGAAGCATCCCTACAGCCCGTTTCCCGAGCGGGGGCTCCTGTGGGGAAGGCCGCCCGCCCTGCACGGAGCAGTAAGGCCCACGCGTCGGGCATGACACACACGCGTAAGGGTCCGTGGGTCTGACACCAGTGTCCGGCTGAGGACGCAGCGCGCTCTCTGTTCTGTGCTGTCAGGGCAAGGAACGGATCCAGGGTCCCTGGGGCGCCTTCGATAGGAATGCCTGTGACAAACAGGATTCTGCCACGGGAGCCTTCCTAAGCGCAAGAGGACTGGCCACGCTGTTTCCCCCTTAGCCTGGGGGCAGGAGGAGCACAAGAGGGGCCCCAGCACTGGGCATCGCTCTGATTCACTCTTGCGGACTACGTTCTCAGCCCAAAAGGCATTTCTACTTTTCCGAGGCAAAACCCCCTCATTTCTGGGAGGGGTTCCTGAGAAAGTCAAACTTGCCTTGAAAGTCTCCGCCTTTGGATGTGCCCAAAGACCCAGGGGCAGGGGCTTCCAGTGCGGGATCGCATCGAATGTTCACGAGTTGGCACATGCACGGACGTGGCTACCACATCTCAGCAGGGCCGATCGCCCTACTCACTCCCGAGCCCCTTTCGGCACTTCCCAGGGCCATAACCTCCAAGATCTCAGTGGGCTGAGAATGTTCGCTTTCCTCGGATGCACAGTCCGAATCCTCTCTAACCCGTGAGTCTCTGCTCCTGTCCCGCTTTGGAAGAGGCCGGAACACGTGCACGCTGGCGTCTGAGGGTCTGCAGTGCTTGGGACAGCTGTCCGGTGCTATTGTGACCCCCCCCCCACTCTCCCCCTCTCTAAATGTTCCGTTGCCCTGACAGATCACAGACGCGGGGTTCGAGTGGAACGTCAGAGAAGCGAAGCACGCCGTGCTCTCTGCCTCCGCACCTCCGGGAGGACAGACCCCAGTGATCCACTTGGACAGACCCAGTGCCCAAATGGGTGAGGGTGGGGCAGGGGGTCCAGACCAGCTCCGTGCAAGGAACCCAACGGTCCCCAGGAACAGGAGGAGACCGCCTCGGTGCCTCTTTTCAGCTTCTCTCCCATGCAGACCTCTGAGCTTCCTTCCTTTCTTCCCACGAACACCCAGCCACTCTTCAGGACTGGCCGCGGACAACTCCGGGGAGCCCCGATCCTTTCTCCTGGCCGAGGAGGCAGCGAGGGCGCCCCCAGTCCAGGGGGAACAGGGCTGTCCGGGACGTGCGCATTCCCCGCTGTCGTCCACAGAACGTTCGTGGAGACGGTAGGAATAAAGCCACTGAACCTTCACCGCGTTCAAATACCCTGTGACAGGGCCCGGCACGCCGTCCCTTCAGGCCACAGGACACTCACTCGGCCTTCTCCACAGCCCAATGCAAACTGCTCCCAGCATTTATCCATTTAAGACATCTCTCCCGCCCCAAAAGCACCCGATCCCCAAAGAGGGCCACTGTCACCACCCGGCTTCCCCGTGACCAGCAGCACAGAAGCGATCATGGGGCCCCTCAGGTCACAGCCCTGCCACCCGGGCTGGGTCAGGGGCATTTCCAGGGCAGTGCTCGCCTCGGGAGCAACACCCCCTCACTCTGCTTCCGCTTCATCTGCAGCTCTCAGGGCCCGCCTGCCCACCTTCGTGCCAGGACTGGGACTGCCACACACGGTCCCCTACGGCTGGGACGCGTCCTGCTTCTAGCGTCCTCCGCGCTCACCCGCAGCGCCTTCCAGACAGTAGAACTCAGCCCATGTCTAGGATTCGAGGAGCCAGTGAGCAGAGCTCCCTCTGTGCTGAGAGGACGCTTCTCCTCCTTTCTTGAAGAACCAAGCCAGGGCAGGAGCCCCCGTGTGTGTGCCTCTGGCATTTACACCATGACAGCCGGCGGGGCATCAGAGAGGCAAGAACCCACGCGCTTCTCTTCCCCCACGCGCTTCTCTTCCCCCTTCCCCTTCCTATTCCATTCTTTCGCCTTCCCAACCCATCCCGAGGCCCAGCCCTGTGATTCTGGCCCAGAACCCAAAAAAGGAGGCAAAGTGTCTAGGCTGGTCTCTAGGACATGGCAAAAATCCTTTCTGCTTCAAGATATTTTATTTCTTTATTCGAGAAACAGCACACAGAGAGGGAGAGGGAGAGGGAGAAACAGGCCCCACTGAGCAGGGAGCCCGATGTGGGGTCAGATCGCAAGATCCTGAGATCCTGACCTGAGCTAAAGGCAGACGCTTAACCAACGGAGCCCCCCAGACGGCCCCGGGACATGACAAAACTCGTAACTCTTGACCTGGGTCAGGACAAACGCTGTGTGGGGGGATGTCACTCACACACTCAGCCGCTGAAGCCAATGAAGCCTCCTATAACAAGGAAGCCCACTGGAGAGCTTCGCCAGGGACACCAAGCTCTGAACTTGGGAGGCATCGCAGGGAACCGCCCCCCGCACCCCCCAAAGGAGGCTCTTTGCCCTGCATTTCCCCCCAACCCTCCCTGGCCCTGCACTGCTTAGAAATCCCAGGGCTCTCTCTTCACACACACACAGGGAAGAACCATGAAACAATCTCACTTCGTGCCCAGCACCCCGCAGGACAAGCTGCCTGCCGACCCCGCCGGAGCCGGGACCGCACCACAGCCGCCCCTGGGGCTCAGGCCCCCTCTTCCTCATGGCTCACAGCCTCTTCAGAGGGGGCCGGGGAGGGAACCGGCAGCCCGGGATAGACTCGCAGCAAATACTCCAGCACTTGCAACCTGCTGGTTTCCGCGTGGGCCCTGGGACCCCACAGGAACTCGTAGCGGGCAGGGTCACTGCCGGGCACCTGCCGGTACTCCAGGTACCCTTCCTGCACCCAGACATTGGTCAGGAGCTCCCGGGGCTCCCCAAAGATGATGTGCTCCTCGCCGGCATACACCCCCATGACCCCCAGCGCTTCCCACACCACCTCCTCGCGGGCACGGTCGCCCTCCAGGAGGATCGCCCCCAGGAGCACCACCAGGAGGCCCGTCTTGGGCGCGCCCTGCTCAATGCTCAGCATCGCATCGCAGGTGAGGCCCAGGACGGGGACCAGGACGTAGGAGTGCTCGCTGGGGTCCACTTCCTTCACCTCCACGCCGAACACCAGCTGCATGCACTTCGACGCCTGGCCCAGGATCCCGGGGAAGGCGTCCTGCTCACCCTCGCCGACGATCGCCAGCATCTGCGCCTGGCTGGTCGGCTCCTTGGTGAGATACTTGAGGAGCAGGAACCCCACCAGGTCAGCTGTCTTCTCCTGGAGCACGTCTGAGAGCCAAGGCTCGGCTTCTTCGGACTCCTCCCAGGTGCTGGACCCCTCCTCATCTGAGCTGCTGGAGCCCTGGTCGGGCTGGCTCCAGGCAGTGGCTGCCATGGCCGCGGGCGAGGGGCAGGCCCGCTGAGGGCTCTGGGGAGGACTCGGGGTCCCCGCAGCAGACCCCTCCTCCGGGGGCCCCAGAGACAGGGCAGAGCAGGAGAGGGAAGGGACGGTGGACTGGGAGGAGGCAGAGGCGGAGGAGGGAGGTAGGGCCTCCACCCCTCCAGCCCCGCACTGCTGTGCCTCCTCCAGGCCCTGGCCTGGTCCTGGTCCAGGGTCTTGCTCCAGCTTCCACAGCTCACTCCTCTGACCCAGGGGCATGGCGTTGGTGTTGGGCTGAACCTGAACACACATGTGCGCGGCTCCTCAGGGTGCAGCCCAGCCAGCAGAGGCCCGGACGTCCCAGAGCTGACAGTGGGCTGCGTCGCCCATGGGTGCCCAGGGCTCCCCTCCGGGTTGGGATAGGTGAGCCCCTGGCTCCAGGCTCAGAGCAAGGACCTCACCTTGACCACTGGCACTCACCTGCACCGTGATCCCAGGGACTCCTGCCTCACACCGAGGGCTCAACAGCCCCTTCTCGACGACCCTGGGGGATAAAAGGAGGAGGCACCTGACGGTGCAGACTTACAGCACCCGCCCGGGGCCCGGGGCACACAGGAGGGCTGGGTTGGACTCCCTGAGTGGGCCACCCGTCCAGGCCGGGCGGTCCCCTCCTTGGCCTCTCAGGGGACTTCTTTCCCCTGCCAGGACCTAAGCCCCACCCACCTTGGCCCAGAGGCCAAAGGGTCCCAGCAAGACCACGCAGCCCTGAGCCTCCAGGAAGGAAAGCGAGGAGGAGGTCCACATCTGGACCGGCCTGCCATAGGTCTACAGGGCTCGTCACGGATCTCCAGGGATGGCCGAACGTCGGGTTCCGTCTAGACTGGATGGGTGCGACCCTCTGTCTATACCTTGACCCCTCGGAATGCCTGGGAAAACTCCCTGTGCTGACTGGAGGCCACCTTCCTGGTGTCGAGGCCTCATCTCACGGAGAAGCCAGAAGGAAAAGCGAGGAGAAATCAGTCTGCCCACCGATGCCCCGTCTCCCTACCGACCCCCGTGTCCCCATGGCTGACAGAAGTGTGAGGGCAGGCCTGGGCCCTGGGGATCCAGTCGTGGGAGGCATCTCCTCATTTCCCACCTCCACCCGTGCCTCCTCCACTGACCAAAGTCCAGACCCTCAGGCACAGGCCCTCCCCTCCCAGAGCCCAGGGATCTGGGGACGAAGAGGGGCTCCGCCTGACAGACCCGGCCAGGGTGCTCAGGGCGGTCAGGGAGAGCTGGCCAGATTTCTGGGCCATCCCCTCCTTGTCCCAAGGGGTGGGTTGGGAGCCCTCGCTCCTGCCTCGGGGGTCCCCACTTTGACTCTTGGCAGGACAAGAGCCTCCTGTGTGTCTCCCAGGTGGGCTTCCTCGGGTGACCCGACTCCGACCTCTCCCAGCATGGCCCTCACCTCCCTGAGAGCTCCCAGAGGAGGGTGAGGAGCCACCACGCCCATGTCCGAGGGTCCATCCCTCACGGCCAGCTTCCAGCAAGATCCCAAAGGGCTGGCGGTGGGGACCGACCCCTCTGACCTGGGATGGGGATGCCCTCAGGCTCCCGGGAGGCTAATCCTCCTTCCTGCCAGGGCCTGCCCTTCCACCCAGCCCCCAACCTGAGACAGAGGCCAGGTGCCCCTCAGCCCGAGACCTCACTCCCCGAGGTCTCCCCACCTTCCAGCCCATGAGACAAGTGAGCATGCCTGCCACTTTGGGCCACCGCTGACCGATCCTCCCTGGGCTGCCAACAGGGCAAAGCCGGACTCCGGGGCACTGGCTTCTTTGCTGAGAAGGGAGGACCGGGTCCGGCCAGTCCTCCCCCAGGGTCCTCATCCTCACTCCCAGAAGGACCTGTGACCCTCCTCCCCACCCCGTGCTCCACACTCACACCCTCACACACACAAGCCCACCACACCCCAGGCCCTGTTCCTTCTCACCACAGCCCGCAGTCTCTCACACCCAGATGTGGACATCAGGACAGGCATGTGCTCCTCCTACACTGGGGCCTCCTCCCCGAATTGAACGTGCTGGGGACCAGGATGCCTCAGTCCTCCCTCTGGTCCTCACCTTCCAACACAGCAGGCCCGCGGTCCGCCCGGGAGATCTTGAAGCCTGATGCTTCCACCCAGACCCCCGTCTCTGGGAGACTTGGTGGGAATGCAGGGCTCGCCCCATGCAGTCATCTGTCCCTGGGGCCTCCTGGGACCAAATCTGGTCTCTGTCCCCAATCCTGCAGTCCTCCTTGCAGTCCTCGCCTTTCCCCCCAGCGACACACGGCCCATCTCCCCCCTTACGCATTCTCCATCCTTGTGACCACCGGTCCTCAGAGGCCCCGAGGCTGAAGTGGCCATGCACGGCGTGGGATCGCCCACCCCAGGAGCCTCCCAGGGCTGAACCAAGGCGCGGTCCGGCGGGCTCCCTGGGGACTCCCTCAGGTCCTCTCGCCTCGAGCCCTAGCGGGTCCCGGGCCTCTCCTGTCTGCTGTCCCGGGGCCGGTGCTCCCACACCAAGGCTATCGCTCCCCTGAGCCCACTGGCTCAAGTCTGTGACCACGATGTGCAGCGGCGAAGCCCAAGATTTCCCAGGACGGACCGCGGGGGCGGAGATGGGGCGTCCAGGTCTCTCGGGCCTTCTTCCCCTTTCCAACGGGGCTCCCTGGTGCCTATGCCTTTGTCTGCTGTACTGCCTGTGGATCGGCTCACAGACAACGGGGCATCCAGCCTCTGGGAGACCCAGGTGGGCGAGTGAGGGACACACACACACACACATGCACATACGAACACAAATGAGGAATCCGTGTCCCACACTCAGGCTTCTAGGGGCTGACTCTGGTTTGGGGTCCAGGCTCCCTCAGACCTCCCTCTGCATCCTCACCGTGAAGCCCAGCAGGACCTGCCCCCACGTCTTTGGTCACCCGAGGGAGGCCCTTTTCCTTCTGCCAAGGTCCCCAGTCACTAGAGAAACCCTGATGCGCAAGTCCCACCCTAGGGGATACGAGACCCCCATCCCGCCCAAATGCCTTTCTAAACTGACCCTGGGAACCGAATGCTGTGAGGTGCCCTCTGTCCTCCTTCAGGGTTCATACCGTGACTCCCATTCGCGCCTGAGCCCTGCCCTCTGAGGACCTGAGATCTGTGCCTTACACCAGGCCCTTCGTCACTCAGAGACCCGGATGCGGAAGTCCGCCCTCGCCACGGGCTCCCATCCCCCACCGCGGATCTTCCCTGACTGACTCTGGGCTGGGGTCCTGGGTCCCTCAATCCTCCTACATCCTCACCATGAAACAAAGCAGGACCTGTGCCCGCCCCTCTGCCCGCCTGAGGGAGGCCCTGCTCCCTCCACCAAGGCTCCCAGTCTCTCTGGAGGCCAGGAGGCTCCAGTCAGGCCACCAGACCACTTGTCCCCATCCCGCCCGGGGGACTTCCCAGAATGGCCTTGGGAGCCGATGTCGGTGAGGTCCCCTCTGGCCTCCCTCAGGGTTCATACCGCGACTCCCATTCGCGCTTGAGCCCTGCCGCTGACGACCTGAGATCGGCTCCTTACACCAGGCCCTTCATCACTCAGAGACCCGGATGCGGAAGTCCGGACTCGCCACGTGCTCCCATCCCCCCACCACAGACCTTCGGCCAGACTCTGGGCTGGGGTCCTGGATCCCTCAGTCCTCCTCCTGCATCCTCACCATGAAGCCCCGCACGACCTGCGCCCGCCCCTCTGTCCGCCTGAGGGAGGCCCTGCTCCCTCCACCAAGGCTCCCAGTCTCTCTGGAGGCCCGGAGGCTCCAGTCAGGCCACCGGACCACTTGTCCCCATCCCGCCCGGGGGACTTCCCGGAATGGCCTTGGGAGCCGATGTCGGTGAGGTCCCCTCTGGCCTCCCTCAGGGTTCATACCGTGACTCCCATTCGCGCCTGAGCCCTGCCGCTGACGACCTGAGATCGGCTCCTTACACCAGACCCTTCATCACTCAGAGACCCGGATGCGGAAGTCTGGACTTGCCATGTGCTCCCATCCCCCACCGCGGATCTTCCCTGACTGACTCTGGGCTGGGGTCCTGGGTCCCTCAATCCTCCTACATCCTCACCATGAAACAAAGCAGGACCTGTGCCCGCCCCTCTACCCCACTGAGGGAGGCCCTGCTCCTTCTGCAAAGGCCCCCAGTGTCTCTGAGACCCGGACGCGCCAGTCCCGCCACACTGGCCACGTGTCCCCATCCCGCCTGGAGAACTTCCCCGACTGGCCTTGGGACCTGACATCAGTGAGGTCCCTCTGTCCTGCCTCAGGGTTCATACCTTGAATCCCACTCGTGCCTGAGCCCTCCCCTCGGATGACCTGAGATCGGCTCCTTACATCAAGCCCTTCGTCACTCAGAGACCCGGATGCGGAAGTCCGGACTCGCCACGTGCTCCCATCCCCCCACCACAGACCTTCGGCCAGACTCTGGGCTGGGGTCCTGGATCCCTCAGTCCTCCTCCTGCATCCTCACCATGAAGCCCCGCACGATCTGCGCCCGCCCTTCTGCCCGCCTGAGGGAGGCCCTGCTCCCTCCACCAAGGCTCCCAGTCTCTCTGGAGGCCAGGAGGCTCCAGTCAGGCCACTGGACCACTTGTCCCCATCCCGCCCAGGGGACTTCCCAGAATGGCCTTGGGAGCCGATGTTGGTGCGGTCCCCTCTGGCCTCCCTCAGGGTTCATACCGTGACTCCCATTCGCGCCTGAGCCCTGCCCTCTGAGGGCCTAAGATCGGCTCCTTACACCAGGCCCTTCATCTCTCAGAGACCCGGATGCGGAAGTCCGCACTCGACGCGGGCTCCCATCCCCCACCGCGGATCTTCCCTGACTGACTCTGGGCTGGGGTCCTGGGTCCCTCAATCCTCCTACATCCTCACCATGAAACAAAGCAGGACCTGTGCCCGCCCCTCTACCCCACTGAGGGAGGCCCCGCTCCTTCTGCCAAGGCCCCCAGTGTCTCTGAGACCCGGACTCGCCAGTCCCGACACGCTGGCCACGTGTCCCCATCCCGCCCGGGGCCTGCCCGGACTGATCCTGGGGCCCGACCTCAGTTTGGACCCCTGTGTCCTGGGCTCCCAACTCCCTCGGTCCTGCCCCCGCTCGGGCCCGACCGCGTCCCCCTGGACTCCCTGGGCCTCCCTGGGCCGCGGTCTTCCTGACCCGGCATCCTTGCCCTCCGACCAAGCTCCTCAGCCCCCTCGGGCCCCCGAGGCACCTTTCAGCCGACGCGCCCTGTGGC